TCAGAGAATGAGGCTCATTTCCTTATGTCTTGAGATTTGAATTACTTTCACACCATTGTTACTGAAAGTAGGCCCGGAGGACAGCTGCTTCTGCTGCCATTTCTTCCTCTGACCTCCAAGAGGCCGGGGTATCTTCTTCCTCTTTGTCATGTTTCTCCAGCTCATCATATATGCTGTCGTTCCTGTGAAAGTCTCCAGCCTTTCTGGGAAGAATGTGGACATGAACGTGCTTCACAGTCTGTCCAGCTTCGGGGCCATCCTGCATGGAAAAGGTCAGAGAGGTCCCTTGGAAATGTCTCTCCACCAGTGTTCCAACTCTTTGGGTCACCTGAAACAAATCAGCTACTTCTTCAGGACGCAGGTCACAGAAACGCTCCACTGGCCGTAGTGGACACACAAGGACATGTCCTGGTACCACAGGTTTCCTATTCACCAGAGCAAAAGATAATTCTGTTTTGAGAAACACCATGGAGGGCTTGATGAGATGCTGGCTGAATTTGAATGACGTTTTCTCACAGTTGAAGCCTCTTCCCAAAATTGATGTCAGTTATCACAAGGAGTTAATTCCCTAGATCCTGCAGATGGTAGGCTGGTTCCAAACAGAGATATGAGACCAGGTTAGTTGTCTGCTCTTGCTTGGTGTTGAGAGATGCTGTGGCAGCAGAAAGGTGGCTTCCTCCCCAAGACTACTCACTCTACTGCTTTTAGACCACTGCTGTCTTCTGAGAGTCCTTGACAGCAGGATGCAGTTTCTAGAGATGGGCAAGGCAGTAAGTCATCCCAGGATACCTACCGTAGAGGGTAATGCAAAGCTCTATTAACAAGGTGCAGCTGAAGATGTTCAAATAAAATCACTCTATGGATTATTCTTAGTGGATTTCTCTTCTTTGCTGAGCTTCAAAGCTTCCAAGATCTCAACAGCTTCCGCTCGTTCTGCAGCTCAGTTGTCATCTTCCTCATTTCTAAATTGTTCATTGGCGTTTCCGACTCGGTGACTCGGTGTCTGACTGACTGACTCCAAAGCTGTCAGTTTATTTTCTGAGTATTTCATTTTTTGATACTACTTAAAATTATTTTATTCTGGAACTGGGGAGATAGCTCAGCAATCTAAGCACCTGCCTGGCAAGCAAGCTCAAAGGACCTGGGTTCATTCCCTAGTAACACATGCTGTGCCAGCCCCAGAACTCCTGGTGTACCCTACAGCCCCAAAACCGAGTGTGGGGTTTGGTGGCACACACCTGTAATCCCAATGCTGGGGAGGCTGAGACAGGCAGATCATTAGGAGTCTGAACTGAGTAGCTAGACTCTGTACCAAGCAAATAAATGAATAAATAAAAGTTTTTAGAAAAATAAAATACAATTATTTTATTTAAAGTTCTTTTGTTTATATATAGAAATAAAACTTTAAAGTAAATTAACAAGGGCCAGGGAGATAGCTCAGTAGAATAAGCCCTTGCTTGGCAAGTGCAAGGGCCTGAGTTCAATCCCGAGTTCTGCCAAAATAAATACAAATAAATAGATAAATAAAATAAATTAACATTTTTATGTTGTATTCTCACCTCACTTAGATTCTTAAAGATTTTATGCCTGGGTGTGCACATGATTTGAGAATAAAAAGTTTTACAGTTGTCTTTCCAACTTCATACGTTCTAATTCTTTTTCTTATAGAATTGTCATTAAATTTAGCTTCCACAGTGTGGAAGATCCTACAGCTATGGTGGACATTTTTAGGGATATCAGGACCTTTCTCATGATTTTGGGGAAGAAGCACTCTTTCTTGCTCTCTTTAGTATTTTGTGGTAAGTGTTTGTAGATATCCCTCATGAGGACGAGAAAATCTCCCTTTGTTTCTGGTTTGCATCCTTTGAATCTGTTGAGATAGCCATATGGATCTGTGATATTTATTAACATAGTACATTGTATGGGCTCATTTTTTAATTTTTTTTTGTTGAAGGTTTTGCAGTTTATTAAATCCTCTTGTGAAAAAAGTTGCAATCACTGCAGAATCTCTCGTCCGTCAGCTGTACTCCAATCTCCAGCTCACTTTTTGCCAGCGCCAGCGTTAGCCTTCGTGGTTCTTCATTCTGTTCTTGCATTCCTTCCGCTGCTTTCTTTTTTTTTTTTTTTTTTTGCAGAACCGGGGATTGAACTCAGATCCTTGCGTTTGCCGGTCAAGCGCTTATCCTGCTGAGCCATCTCCCCGGCCCCTTCTGCTGCTTTCTTGAGGTCTTTTTCTTCTCATACAAGCCACGTCTTGCAAGTCTATGTTTGGGCTCATTTTTCTTCGCATAATCCAGGGAATCATAAATCATGCCAAAGCCAGTCATCTTGCCACCACCAAAGTGGGGTCTGAATCCAAACACAAAAATGACATCTGGGGTGGTCTTGTACATTTTGGCAAGTTTTTCCTGAATTTCTGTCTCAGGTACTGTTGCTTTCCCAGGGTGAAGGATGTCAATGACCATTTGTTTCCTTTGAAAAACTGGTTGGTCATGAATTTCCGGATTCGGATAGTTACTGTGTCATTCATGATGGCAACGGAGCCTCTGACAGCCCGGGAGGAAAAGAGCTCATTTTCAAATAGTGTACCAACCCTGGAGTACTGGAATAAACTCCGGATTGTCACGTTATGTACTATCATTTTCACATGCTGTTGATTAAATTTTAACTGTTCTCCATGTGCGCATGAGGGAGATTGGTCTGTGGTTTTCTTAGAGTGTAATGTAACAAGCAGTGCTGAATATCCATCATCTTGTTGTTGGGTTTTGAAATTGCGCATCATTTTTAATGTTCTGATATTTTTCTATTCTCTTTAAAATGTTTAGATGTTTTTGATAGTTTTTTTTTTTTTTTAGGGTATTGTTAGCCCCATAACATACATTAGGAAATAGTTCTTTTTCTTCTATTTTATAAAAGAATTTGCATAGAATAGGTATTATTTGCTCCTTAATTGTTTGGTAGAATTCAACAATAAAGCCATAAGTTTGTAGGGGTGTGTGTGTGTGTCTGTCTTTTGGCTCCTTTTATTTATTTATTTTTTTAGTTTTTGGTCTACTGAAGATTGATTACGTCATGTTTATGTGTGGATTTACCTTATTTTGTCTGCACAAAATTTAAGTGAGCTTTTCCATACCTGGCGATGATGCTATTGGGAGATTTTCAGTTATTACTTCTTCAAGTATATCCTTTTCCTCTTTATTGCTCCCTGTTTTAGAAACTTGCCATCTTTTTTTTTTTAAGACTGCAGCTACATTTTAAAATATCTTTTGATATTATCATATTACTATCAGAAAATTTAATTTTTTAATTTTTTCTCTTTCTTCCTTAACTC